TGAGGAGATGGGTCCAGCAGCCCTGTTTGCTAACCTGCAAATGTGTGTCTGCTGTGGATAAGCGCCAGATGGGGTGCTCAGGAGTTACATCTCCACATGAGGCATCTTTTTGAAAATCAAAATGACGTGGTGCAACAGTGTCACCTTATTGATACTCAATCTCTTGTCTCTCAAGCTGGGAATATCTGAGGACATAACCAGAAACATGGGTTGGTCTGATCTGCACTGGTAAATTAATTCCTCCAACATCATACGCTGTTTCCTTCCAGCCAGCAGAGCTGATGCAAACTGGAAAAGAGCATTCCCAGGCATTGTACATAACCAGCTCAGGTGCACCTTTTCTTCATGCAACATGGGCCAGGGCTGCTTCTTGGTGTTGGGTGTTACAGGGTTACTTCAATACATGCATAAAAGTCCTATTGCAATGTTACAATTTCTTAGTCTCAGTGACGAGACTGGGAAATAAATAAGCTTTGACACTCTCCCAGGAGCTTGCGGGTCCCCATTCCCAGCCTGGAGGTTGCATCCCACTTGCTGCTCTGATAAATAACTCTGAGTGAATCCCATTCCCTCTGGTCTCGACTGTGCCCCAAGCCTCCGTGACACCCTGCTGTGTCTCGATGAGGACAAATGCTAGAAGGCCACACAAGGAGCACCCTCAGGTCCCCTTGCCCAGCATGAGGCTAATGAGGGGGAGCTCAGGGGCTCTGTAAGCCCCCCCCCCGAGCCGGTCGGGAGCGGCTTCCCAGGGATTTCCACTGGAGGTCAGTGTTGGCCCGAGCACGGGGGCTGTCACTCAGGGCCACCTCGTCCCTGTCCCGGGGTCGGCATTGATGGAGCCCATGGATGCGCTTGTAGAAGGGTCCTGGGGTGGGACAGCAGCGCCACATTGGCTGCGGGATTTGATCTGGTCATCGCGTCACACTTGTGGAGAGGCCAAAGTCAGGGTTGTGTTGGGTGGTGGTGTATAAGGGAACCTAAATATGAGGGGGTAGAGGTGATGATTCAACCCTGCCCCCCAAGATACAATGCTCAGCCAGCCCTTGTTGCCTTACACCGATTTACTCCAAGCTTTCATCAGCCAACAAAGTCCATCTCTGCTGGTTGCACTACACCCACCACCCATTGCCCATCACTGGTTGGATTTAAAGGCTCAATCCTGACCTCTTCCTTTAAGATGGAGAAACTTTCGGCCCTCTCCAAGTGATGTATTCACAAGGGACAAAGCATTGCATAAAACAAAGTCATTAATGTCTAAAATGTCCATCCCTGGAGTTGGCAGTGGACAACTGGCAGCATCCAGACAGAATCAGACACTACTGGAGGACCAACAAGTCCTTCACGAAATGTACTCCTGTTACAGTCCCAGCTGATGCCCTGTTTGTTTGCACCCAAGTGCTCCCTGGGCTGTTGGGATTTCTGAAGGGAAAACAACTCCTGGTTCCAAACATGAGAGACGTGAATCCACCCCATTTTTTTAAGGGCTACTCTGTGAGAAGCCACCTGCGATGGCCCCATCACCAAACCAATCTCTTTGGCACCCTTGATCCCAAAGGATCACACTCACTGCACAATAGCAGAGAGCAAAGAAAGTTTTGCCTCTGGCTTTTTGTGTGTGTTGGATGGGGATGGTTATGCATGTCATTACTTAATGTTCTCTGAACTCCCTGGATGTTGTTAAGTAAAGAGCAGAGGATTTCAAAGGAGACTCGGTTTCACAGCCCAAATCTGAGTGATAATTACTCCTATTTCTTTCAAATCCCTCTTTTTCATGAAACACATATACTGAAAAGACACTAAAACAGGCGAAGGGCACAGGCATAAACTTTACAAAGCTTAAAACTACTCTGTCTCAGCACAGCTCATGCTTTACATGACACCTTAATCCTACTCATTTGCTAGATTCACCCTAACTGTAAACAAAGCTTTGAAATGAAAGCTTAAATCCTAGTTGGGATACATTAAGTTAACCAAGAAGACACTCTTAAGGCATTAGTGCAATGACAATCACAATATGAGTGCCAGAGGCTTGTGCATGGGGGGATTAATATCTGAAGGGAAAAGAAAAGGGGTCTGGTCTCTATACTTCGCAGCCTCTTTGGCTAACAGCCTGCAGCGAGGGGGCTGTGTGCTGCTTGTGGGGTGCTGGGGCTGCCTGAAGGGGGCCTCGGGGGACCCACAGCTGGATGCTGCACCCCAACATCTGGGTATCTCAGCATCTGGGTGCTGCCCCCCAGCATCTGGATCACGCACCAGTTTGGGATCATCCACTCTCCCCAAGCCACATCTTTTTGCTACCACCTATGCAAGGCTCCAGTGGGATTGGGGAAGAGCAGGCTCAGCACAGCACTAGGTTTCCAAGCACCAAGTCTGGAGAACTGCAGCACCACCTGCCCGCCCCACCACCATTTTTCCTTTGCACAGCACCTGGCTTTGCCCTAGGAACCCCCTTGTGCACTGCCAGCCCGTAGCCCCCAGCCTGGAGAAAAGCAGCTTCTTCTCTCCCCTTCCACACCAATGTCACATTCAATTCTTACAGCATGCATAGGATAAAGGAATGAAGAGGCACAAGTGAGAGCTCCCACCATGGGGACACAATCCAGCAGCAGGGAACACCTGCCTCACTGCCTAGCTGGGCACTGGGGACAGTCCTATAAGTAAACAGCACCAGGATGGGCAGTGAATGCATTGGGTTTTAATTGATGCTGTGCCAAGGGAGGAAAGGTCTGATCTAATTTGGGGTGCTAAATAGGGGTATCACCTGCAAGGGACTCCTGCTGTGCCAATGGAAAGGTACACTCTGCAGCTCCCTGGTGATGAAGAGCTCAACTGCATTCTTCCCACAGCCCAGCAGCACTTAGCTCCCATTCACTTTTATTAAAAAAAAAAAAAAAAAACAAAACCAAACATATAAAATAGCTTTAAAAAGCATCGCTAAAAGTACAAGTTCTGCAGTGGAGGCACAACAGCAGCACAATAACACGAGCAGAGGATTTCCTTTGGTTGGAGCAGGGGAATGGCAGCACTGGACAGGTTGGAAAGAAAAGCTTTATTTTAAAAAAGTCTTTTCTAACAGTGAAAGTCATTTTTCAACATAGAAAAAAGAAGTAGTCAAGGTGTTTTGTTTTGTTTTCCTATGGGGAAATAAGAGGATGAACACCTTAGATATTGTTTTAAAATTGGTTTAGTGGGGTTTTTTTGGTGACTCATTCCAGTGATGAATGAGCACCCAGGGAAGAGGAGAAAGCCCTTTTGTGGACCATTCCTTGCTTTTGGGGTTCCTGCCCATTGCACCATGCGAGCATTGCCTCCAGGAGGAACCTCCTCTCCAACTGAACACAGCTGGGAAAGAGAAGTCAGATTTTGGTCCCCTTCACCGCGCACACGGGGTTGTGTCTGCACACAGCCAAAGAGCAGGAACCTCATCCCACCCACTCAATCCCCACTATGGGGACGTGTTCACACATCCATCCACGGGATCCTTGGCGCATCCATCCTTGGACCCATCACATGTACCGCTCCAGGCCGGTGGTGAAGTTGGGCTGCCTGCCGTAGGCGTTGCCGGAGCTGAACTGGCCGAGGGGCGATGCGGGGAGCCCCAGCAGCTGCTCGTTGTGCTCAGGGCAGGCAGTGGGGCGCACAGTGGGCAGCGCCAGTCTGCTGGGAGCCCCGTAGAGCTGTGGGCTGCCAGGTGAGTAGCTGCCCTGCCCTACGGGTAGATGGGGCGGCGAGGCAGCATAAGGGTATGCCAAAGCGTTGGGGCCGGCTCGGCTCAGCAAACCAGGACTGACGGGCTGCGGCTGGAAGCAGGGAGGCTCCGAGGTGCCGGCGGAGCAGCTGGGGGCTAGTTCGGTCCCAGTTAAGCCCAGAGAGGGGTGGGCCAGCTCGGCAGGTGGCGAGGGCTGCAGGGCCTGCTGCCCGCTGATCAGGCTGTCAATGCTGAACATCCGTGAGTGCTGTGCCGGCGGTGCCACCCCGCTTGCGTAGGGATGGAAGACGGTGCCCGAGAGCTGCGGGCTGTAGGCGGGCGAGCAGAGGGCATTTGGGTAGGGGGCGGCGGCAGCCATCGGGCGGACGGCGGGAGGTGGGGTGAAGGCGCTGGAGTTCTGCATGTAGCCAGGGTAGGTGGTGATGTCGGTGCGCTTGAAGCGTTTCCTCCGGCGCAGGAAGCTGCCGTTGTCGAACATGTCCTCGGCGGCAGGGTCCAGCGTCCAGTAGTTGCCTTTCCCGGGGTGGCCGGGCTCCCGGGGGATCTTGACGAAGCAATCGTTGAGGGTGAGGTTGTGGCGGATGCTGTTCTGCCACTTCTTGGGGTTCTCCCGGTAAAAAGGGAAGCGCTCGGTGATGAACTTATAGATGCCCCCCAAAGTGAGCTTCCTCTCGGCGGCGTTGGCGATGGCCATGGCGATGAGGGCGATATAGGAGTAGGGCGGTTTGCCCCGCTGCACCGGCCGTTTCCTCCGGCGGCCCCCAGCGGGAGGCGGCGGCTCCTCGGGAGGCGGAGGAGGCAGCGGGGAGCTGCTCCCGGCACCTCGCGGCTCCGGCTTCACCTGGGAGGTGGGGGTGGAACCCCGGGGAGGCCCGGGAGAGCCGGGGCTGGCCGAGGCGGCGGGGCCGGCCGCCGGCAGCGTGCACATGCCTCGCAGGCAGGGGAAGCCGGCCGCGTTCATATACGGCCGGAGGGGTAGGGGTAAAGCGGGGGGGGGGCGGAAGGAGTAAAAGCCCCCCGCCCAAGGGGGAAGGGAAAGGGAGGGGAAGGGAAAAAGGGGGAATGAGCGCAGCGGCAGCACCCGGCTATGGGGAGCAGGGCCCCGAGCTGCTTTGTAATATATAGGGCGGCCGCCCCCCCAACCCACCCCGGAGCCCGGCCCCTCTCCCCGGGGGCCGCGGGGGGGAGGCCGCCGAGGATGGGACCGTTCTCCCACGGGTAAATCCCCCGGCCTCTCTCTGGGGTTTTCTTTGGCAGCGATGCCCCCAGGGGAAATCCGCTCCTGAGCAGGCTGGGTGATTTTCCGGGGCGCTCTCTTGGTTTTTAATTCATTTTTCCTCCGAGGAAAAGATAACAAAACCAGGCGAGTCCCGTCGACCAAAGCAAGGCGAGTTTCATCCCACAGCCGGCCCCCATCCCAAGAGCAGGTAAGCCACTCCCAGAACCCTCACACTGCTTGGATTTCGTTTTGTTTCTCCCTGGGAAAATCATTCAACCCGGGCCGGGACACAGCGGCAGTGTGAGCTGGAGTTTCTCTGCTCAGTGAGAACCCCGGTTTAATTCCTCTGCAGTCTCCTGGTGAGAGCTCCTGGGTAAGGAAACCAGACAAGGATTTTTCATCTTCCCCGTGAGAGTGGGGGAAGGGATGCACACAGCTCAGGGCTGCCTAGCAGATATGGTATTTTGGGGGTGTATAGGGGCAGGGGGTCTTCTCCATCACTGTAGGTGGCCGGGGCTGAAGGCGTGCACCACACTCAGAAAGCTTTGTTGGGTTTTGGGGAAAACACTTGGAATTCTTCATGTCACACCCTATACTTCAGAGCCAGCCTTGCCAGTACTACAACTGGCCTTGGGCTTTCATGGCATCCTCATCTGCCACTGAGCATCTCCTCTGTGCCTCACACCCCATCAACACTATGGTAGGCTGGACAAGATGGGGGAATTTTACAGCCACGTCACAGCTTGATCTACAGCTAAACATCCACATCCCATTAAGACAGGTGGAGATGCCTGAGCCATTAATGTGCTGACAGATCTCTCACATCCCATGAGCAGTAAAAAAAAATAATAAATTACAACCTTCAACTTTGCATTTTAGCTGGAAGTATTTCCAATAGCAGAGCAGCTAAAAGCCATTTTCCAAGCTCTTCTCCATCCCTTTCCTTTAAGCACTTCCCAGTGGTTCTATTTTACAGCCCAACTTAGAATTCATCATCCAAGTTGTTTCTCACCATCACTTGTTCTCTCAGTTGTGCCTGTCTGTGTCTTTCTTCTTGCTTTATTTTCCATTCATTGCTCACCTCCTGTTCTTTTCAGGGTTCAAGCAGGGAAACACATGGTCCAATAGAGCCATGCTGGGTCCACTCCTGGTTGGCCACTGATCTTCTGCGAGTATCAGGTAAACTGCCACCATGCCCCTTCTGCCAAATGCAGACAACAACACAATCAGGAAGAGCACTTGCTGTATGCAAAAGTTCTTTCTTTATAGCTTTCTTCTGCTTAAATGGAAGACAGTTCTTCAGAGTGAGGGCAGGAAGTAGAGAGCGTGGCAGGGACCATTCATTCACCCCAGGAGAACCAGGGGAAAAGGACACAGACATATATTTCTCCAGGAGCATTAACTTGATTTTGTGTCTGAATTACAGAAAATAACTCCCTGGGAGATGGAAACCTCCAGTTCTGCAGGCTCACACTGCTGAGATCTTCACGCAGAGACAAAGAGTGGTATGCATCTTGATACAGCAAGAAGCGGACTGAGAGGAAAAAGAGTTAAAAGGTACAAAGCTTTTCTCATTTGGTCCCACAAGCAATCACATCACTCTTTTCCTCTTTATTTTAGTGGCCTAAACATCAGAAAAGGATTTGGAGGTGAGAATGCAACACCACGACTGGGTCTGGAGCTACCTGCACCTGCAAAGGAAAAACGATCTCATCTGGACAACAGAACACAAAGACCCACCCCATAGGGGTGCTCATAGCCCAAGGCCCTGCTCTGATGTAATTGTATCCATCGTGGGAGAAGCCCCCTGTTGGACTTCAGTCTGACTCCAGCTGGTGTGGGGTCACCTGGGAGCTGCTGGGACTGTTCACAGCACTCCCAGCCTTACAGCGTTGGGGCCCAGATGTCAGACTGGTTTTGACAGATGGATAAAGCAGCAGGGCAGAGGTGGGCAGGAGCACACAGGCAGGAAACAGACCGAGTTGTAGCACTGAGCAAGGAAATCCAAAACGGACAGACACTAATTCCCACACGTGCTTTATCACTCAGGGTGATGTAGGATAGTAATAAAGACAGCAACCACGCAAACAGGATGAGTCTATCTTTACAATGACACAATGCAGAGGGAGTAAACCACACTTTCTCTGTACCTCAGCCACCCTGGGACAAGCTATGGGTATGGGATTGAGGAGCTCTCCAGTTCCTCTCCCACCAATTGCTGCAGCAAGCAACCCAAAGCATCCCCCAGCATCTGAGCTAGGATTTCTGAGGGATGCTGCCATGACACACACCTGGCACTGAAATACTTCAGCAACAACCAAACATAGGTGGGTTTCCTTTGCTGAAAGCCGGCCAGGTAGTACTGCTTTTATATGGAAGCAGTTGGACCCATCCCTATTCCCAGCCTCATCACATCGCTGCCTGAATCCAGTCATGCTCTAAGCTCCCAGGCAGAGAACTCTACAGAAGCTCCCATCACATCTCAGCTCCTCTTTCTTCACAGAGAGTATAGGCAAAGTGTTTACCAAGCTGGGAACACTGGGAAAAAGTGTCCAAAAAAAAACCAAAACAGAACAAAAAAAACCAACCACCTTATAAGCCACTCTTCACCTTTGTGAAGTCTTTCCCCCAAGATGGCTATCTAAGATTTTCTTCCCGAAATAATACTGTTAAGTGAAGCATGAATTTATTTAAACTGAAGGGAAATAGAAAAAGATTGAAGTTACAGAAAACCATGACTTCCAAGGGCAAAATTTGGTTTTGAGTTTTAGAGATTTTACTTCCATGAACTTCAGTACTTTCTTTACAAGTAAAACCTCACGATCTGGGGGACATCAGTATTTAAATTTACCTTTTTTCCTGAAATGATTTATAAAAGACTATTTTCTGCCCCATCTCCACGTCCCACTGCCAAAACCCAAGCACAAGGCAAGACCAAGCTGGTGGCTCAGCAATCCCTCCCACTGCCTTCAACACACTGAGAAGAGCAAAGAGCCACAGTTGTGCACAGGGTTTAATCAGGAACACATAGATATCTGTTGATATCTGTGTTGATATGACACAGCATGACTGGGAACATCCCCTACAAGAGCAGATCTTTGCAAGGAACTTTGACATATCGCTTAGAAACCACCCCACCCCATCAGAGCCCTGATGCACACTGTCCAGGTTCCTCAGAGTAGGGAGATGGTTAAAACCTGTCATCCTGCACGGTCATTCTGCAAGGCTCATACGTGAAATTTTGGCATTTCCATCATGGGAACAGGCAACTAGGCTCATTTCCTCCTCTCACCACCAGACTGATTAGCTGCAAGCCCAGGCAGACAGCTGAAATCCCATCTTGCTTACTTCCTACTCACTCTCTTTTTCCTCTGGTAATGCTCCTGCCAGGAGTGATTTCATTCACTCCTAACATAATGGCCTTTTCCCTCCCCTTAGGCCAGGAGCACACCTCTGTCATGGAGAATTTCCCTCTGTCTTGTACCTTCCACCCCATCTGCCTGTAGCCGGGCTGGCAGGTTGGGTTTTTTCACTCTGTTTAAAATGCTTTTGAGACAAAGGCTCTTTAATCCCCCTTGGCCTGGCCAGGCACCTCTGTCAGTCCCATCCTGATGGTGCAGGCAAAGGAAGGAGATGCTCATGGAGATGCTCATGAGGTGGTGGAGCCAAGTGTGATGTTGCTTGGAGAGCAATCTCCTAGAACCACGTCCTAACGCCTGGCAGAAGGGACAAGGCCAGGAGCAGGACATCTGCCTCCACATTCCCCAGCCCTTCTACCCAAAGTGGGGACATCTTGTCATATATCTATGCTGCTGGAGAAGTTGATTTTCTGGAGAGGAGATAGCCTGACTTAGATTTTAGAAACCTCATCTGCTTTTGAGAGCATCCCATGGATGATCGATGACTAAAAGTTCACACAAAAGGAAATTTCAAGAAAAGGGTCTTCAGCCACAATAGGCCATTGCTCATCACATAATTTCCCCATGATAAGGCAAGAGAGGCAATTCAGACTCAAATCAGACTGGACAACTGTGAATCACAGCATTTGTCTCACATTCCTCCTAGCCAAAACTATCCCTGCTCAGTTCTGCTTGGGGCTGGGAGTATCAACCCAGGAACATTTTCATTATTTTGGAGGTCCACAGAAATCCACTGAAACCTTCTCCACTTCTGAAAAGCTGTGGTCACCGGGATCCTCCACCTGGGATGGGAACCTCCACGTCTCAGCAGCATTGGATGCAGGGAGGCAGATGACACCAGCACCAGATTCCATCAGAGCTGGGTGCACAGGAAAAGCAGATTGTAGTTCACCCATTGCCTCTTAGTTCTGGAGATCCCCACACATCACTTCTGCTCCTGCCTCAGTGGATACAAACCCAGCTGCATCTTGCCTTATCAGGACATGGGATTTGCCTAATTGCTTCTGCTTGGATGAGTCCATGCCAGGCTTGGTCTATCTATAAGAGAGGCTTGGATCTCCAACATCTCTTTCCATTGGCTTTACACTGTCGTGCCTGCAGCTCTCAGGGCTGCTCCACAACCCACTTTTCCTGCTCACAACCCTCACCCCACAACACTGACACTCAGCTCACTGGTCTGCCCAACTTGTGTTAGGAAATCCCATAGGCAACACAGAGCTGGCTTTGCCTTGCAGAGTCACAAGGGCCCAAGGCTGGCAGTTGCTAATTATTCTTTCGCTGCTTGCTGTCTTCTTAAGGAGCTGGGGACTGGATATGGGCAGCCAACAAAAACCCAGGGGATGGACAACAAACAGAGCATCAGGGAAAGCTTTTTACCAGGCAGGTGGCCTTGCTGTAAGCATCCTGGGAGACAGGGGCTGGCCCCCATCCCAGGGTTACCAATCATGTTTCCATCACAGGTTTCTCAGATGGGCAAGGATTTGTTCACATTTCATCATTATTCATTTTTTTTTTCCTTGGACCATGGTTGAGAAGCCCTGGTTGCAAAGCTCAGTGTGAAAACCATGATCCTTCTTGCACAACCCAGAAGGCAAAGAATGACCTAGCATTGCTCGTGGTGGTGAAAAAGCAGATGGATGGGATGGATGGGATGGATGCCCCACTTCTTTTTGAGCTAATCTCAAGAGTTTGGCTGCCTGAGAGAGAAGCCTGAAAAGCTTTGGGTCCATGATGGCCAGCTGCCAGGAGCACAGCCCAGTGTTGGCCAGAGCCTATAGAGAGGATGTTAGCACAGCCAGACTGTGGCCCTTGGCTGCTGTAGACACATTGTCATCTCTCCACCAAAAGGAGACCAACAACTAACCAAACAGCAGCACATATCTTCCATCAGCAGGCACAGGCGCAGCAGACATCGAAGCCTTTGCCAAATGCACTTGTGGGCCACCAGCTGAGAGCTGGCATTGGGCTAATTACATCAAAATTCATTAAGTCAATTACTGCCTGTGTTCCCAAGGGGCTGAAGAGGGATTCCAGCAAGTGCTGAGCACACTGCAGCAGTGCAGTGCCAGGAGGCTCTGTCTCTTTCAGTGACCCAAGCAGGATGCAGTCACCATTTCCCTCCTATATTTGGGGATCTCCCTGACAAAGCATTTGAGAAGCAGGATGGGAAAGACACATGCAGTGCAGTGCCAACAGCCCACACCAACAGCCACAGACCAAAAGGCAGCAGCCACATCACCATTGGCCTGGGCTTCACGTGTCACTGATTGACTCAGGTTTTAATTACACCCCAATATCCCCCTGTCTCCTACAACACAAAGCTTTCAGCCAGGCAGAGATTCATAAAGAGCAGCAGCAACCACAGCAGCCCAGCCTTCAAGTGAGATGCTAACAGCTTTGGACAAGTGTGGGATTTTTATACCCCTATCTGCAGAGAAATCTGATGTTTAGTGCCCTGACTGCAAACAGGTCACCCTTAAACCCCTGAACATCCCAGGCAAAAAAAAAAAAAAAAAAAAAAAAAAAAAAAAGAGGAAAAAAAGCAGTGCCGGAGGGGAATTGTACTGGCTCTAATCCCTTCTGCCATTCTGCATATTCATGGAACATTGTCATAACACATCAGCAGGACAAAAGGTCTGTCGGCACCTCCTCCTCATGCCTTTGATAAACCACGAGACAAATGCTGAGTAAACACTTGGAATCCATTCACTGCCCCATTCTCATCGGGATGAGAAAGTCCTCCTCTTTCTTGCAGGCCCAGAGCTGCTCAGCCTAATAAAGTACGGCCCACGGGCTGTGAAAAGAGAGGCCTATGGATGGTGAAAACATGGATTATCTCATTTCACCCTCCTTGTATCAGACCCTGCTCACATTTTGAGTGCACTTGGGCTGACACACACTGAAAAAAAATAATAATAATTAAAAATTAAAAAAAAGAAAGCCAGGGGGAAGAGGGTATTTAGAGAACGGGAGAACTGTCTGTAAAATTTCACAGATGACCTTTCCCTAGTGGGAAAGTGATTTGTTCCTGCCCCATGACCCACACCAGCCATCACCAGGAGCTTTCACATCCACATCAGCATTTCCCTAAACATTGTGGTGCCAGACAAGAAAAAACAGCACCAACTGAGCTCATTTCAAGGCCTCAAACCCTGAGAAGTTCACGGGGCATTGCCAAAAAGTGAGGTCGTGGCTTAAGATGTCCCATGCTTGGAACCAACCAGCTTCATATCTACAGGAGTGTGGGAGAGCTGACCAGGACACAGAAATGATTAAGACTGGAAAAGGCCACTAAGATCATCCCATCCAACCATCCCTGTTCCACCAAGGTAACCTTGTAACCATGTCCCTAAAATGGAGCACGGAGCAGAACACCTCCTTCCACTACTGTCCCCACCCCCATGTGCAAGAAGGGGGATCCACCACTGCTTCTCCACGTCACCAGTATCTTCCAAATCAACAGAACAGTGCTCCTAAACATTGGGTGACTTCCATAAAGTTGCTCAGGACACCAGTTGCCAAAATCTCCACTGCGTGCTTCCAACACCTACAGCAAAAGCCTCGGCTGCCCATATTTCTGGAGGCTTGGGCTAAAAGAGACTGCAATAAAACAAACAAACAAAAACTCCAATGACTCCAAACAGGGTAAGGAACTG